TACTTTCGTAAACCTTCATTCCAATGCCATTCGTTTTCCAAGTTTTCTCCCCTTCTTGGGTATAAAGACAAACCTATGCATGAGACTTGTATCAGCCCCTTGAGGCAGAACACACACGTTTATTCCAAAATTACGGAGTGGACTTGAACTTATTTATCTCCCATCACCGAGGAGGGAGGAGTTAAAGTGTGTGGCATCTTCATCTACAAGTATCGGGACAGAGACTTTCTCAAACCCGATCTATTTGGAGGAAAGTGTGGTTCTTCCAAGTCGTTTGCAATCCACTCTGAGGGAGTATTTCTTGCCCATCTATTTATAAAAGCTGTTCTTGGTTTTGGTGTATTTGGATCGACTTTGTATCTCCTCGTTTGTCGTCGGTTTTAGAGAGTGACCTTCGCCAATGTCATCCGAGTTTTTTGCTGCTCATATGACTGCCGCAGAGGGTGAGAAGCTTTGTACAGTCGAGGCTGAGGCGGCAGTCTCTGAGACGGCCTTTGGTGTGCGAGACATTCGGGTTGCCGAGGGGTTGCCCTTCAGCGAGTCTCTTGCTTACATCAACCTAACCACATTGGAGGGGGAGAAGCTCTGTGTCGAAATCAGCGGCGCTGGTTTCCGACCCGTCGGTGTATTGTGAGTCATCACTGTCTGCTCTCCTCTCCTAGTCTCGCCTTTTGCTCTTCTAACGTCTTTTGCTCTACTCTACCAGCTACGACGATGTAGTGGGACCAGTGCCACCACCTAAGCATGAAGGTGAGGAGGAATTAAATTCTGGCATGGAGAACTACGAAACCATTTATGCTCTCCTCTCTGCCCGAAGTTCGGGTTTTCGTCATCGATTCTCAGAGCGACTGGCGCAACGACTTGCACAATTACAAGAACAACAGTTGTTGGAAGAGTGTGAGGGAGAGGAGGAAAGGAAGGAAGGAGGTGGGAAGTGACGATGTTTGGTTTCAAGGCTCACTGTGTTTAGGTGTGCATTCCTTTATCCATTTATTGTCTCTCCTCTCCTCTCCCCTACTACGCTACTGCTGTACAAAATTAACGCTAATATTGTGTGCATTTTTGTGCATGTGTACCATTTTTGGGTCCCTTTGATGGTTCCAAGGAATCGGGAGACGACCCCATGTCCTCTCCAAAGCTGTAATAAGGCATTCCAAGAACAGAAGTTTTATTTTCAAATTGTTGGTACTACACCATGTGGTTGGCTAGTGATGCATACCTCCTTCCTGTTAAACGTAGTCCTTGGGCTGCCCCTCGAAGATGTGGTTGTTGCTAATAAATTTTCTGTCTGTGCTTTCTTTCAGTGTGATCTCTTTCTGATCCTCGGATTTCCTTGTCGGGCTTCAAGGGCAGAGCTTTCCATAATCACTTGTACGGAATTGAGTTGTAAAGGCTACGATCAGTTGAGGACGTGGACGAGGGGTTTGAACAACCTCTGAATTGCAATTTTGGCACCGAGCTGATAAGGTTACGGTAGCTTCGAATGCGCTTTACTTCCATGTCATTCACAGCCTTAGTCGTGTCCTTCTTCTCTCCTTTAAGTGGTGGGTTGAAGGAGTGAATGGCACACGGTTTGCCCGTTGCTCCTTAGAGTGCAGCCCCTCAGTAGGAGACGCACAATGCAAACATTGAGCGTCTCTTTAAACTCTCTCTCACTCTCTCTTTTCTATAAAAATCCAAATGTGTGTGTGTGTGTGTGTGCAAGGTCTTGTCCAATACCTCCAAAAATGCATTTTCTGTTGTCATTTCAGATCCTGCTATACACTAGGTCCTGTGTTTCACTACCTTGCCACTGCATGGCTTAACGATTCACTCGGTAGTTGACAAAATTAGTGACCACTTTTATGGTGTGTGTGAAACCTGTGCTAACCTTTGACCTCATTAATGTAGTACTGGGTTGTGTTTGAACTCCACCTACCCACTTCCAGAATAGGAAGTCTTCAAATGCGTGCTAAGAAGTGTGAGGGATTGGTGAGGTATTTGAGTTATGACAGGACTTGATGGTCACTAGGTTAGTTCGACCCACAAGGCCACAATTAAGGTGACAATCTGCACTCCTGTTGTGGTGAGAGATGTAAACGGTTCTGTGGCCATCAAGACTGATGCTTGCAGCTTTAGTCATTATCAGGTCACATTTTCATGCCTCCACGGCTGTGAAACGGGGCCACGACTTCCTGACATGACGCAGTCAACTCGACCCATCCTCTGTGTCAGCGCCTTCCTGATGGCAATCGGAGGCTGAAACAATGCTAATGTCATGGGAGGTTGATTTTCCCTGATGTGATGGAATTTGGGGGTCTAGTCTTGTCGAGAAGTCACCCAACATGATGCCAGCACCTGTCACTTCCTCGTTCAACACTCTGCATTAATTATTTTCACCCTTAAAGTACCTTCAAGACCCTTTTTTGCAGGAGGACTCGTCACCTGCACACTCCTCTTTGATGCGCTACCGCTTGACAGGTGGAGTGCACCGCACCCAGGAGCTCGATCTGATCTCGAGTTGTTTGGAGGTTGACAGCACATTTGTGCCAAAGAATTGCTTTCTCAAATGTCTTGCCTTGTCTGTGTTGCAGTTCTCTTCACCCAAAGCCTCATTAACTCCTTTGACTAAAGTAATAATTTTCAACAGACGCATCAACGAGATTTTTTTTGCAAAAAGGTTGCCAGAATTCGAACCTTTTTTGCTTGGTGTCATGATGATCATATTTTTTGCATTCCTCCCACTTCCACCCGAGTGACCTCAGGAATAACCACTTACGGAGGATAGGCATTGGTTTTGGTTTAGTCATTGCCAAATTCCTCTTGCCGCTGCCCTAAGAGGTGCCTCCTTTTGCTTCAGGACCGTTGGTAAAAGGCATTTTTTGTTACTTCAACCTTCAGGAAATGTCTTCATCTTACAAGGGATTGATTTGTCATGAAAATCCTCCTTTAAAAGTTGTACACTTCAGGTGCATCAACCCTCTGACGATGTGGAGATAAACAGCAGTTTTAAGGCTGTTCCATTTCTCCTCTTTGTCACTCCATCAACGAAAGCCACATTTCTTCGCTGTTGTCTTGGACGGTTAAGTTGGGAGCAGTGCAAAGAGAGGCAGCAAAGAGGCAGTGGTCTCCCTCTTCAAGAGTGCTTTGCAGCAAAATTGGAGCCCTCCGAAGGTGCAGCAAACTTCTCCCAAGAAGTAAGTAGTTTGAGTTTCCACGTTTTCCTTCTTGGTTTGGAGAAGGAAAAGTTTTCCACCAGTTAAGACTGTCATTTGAAGGCGCCAGCCATTCAGATACAACACGGTGTTGGTCTGCATTCCTGTTTTTGGGTGGAAAGGAATGCACAAAACCTCCAAACCCCATTAGAGGTCGTTTCATTCCATCTCTGTGACATCTTCAAGATCAAACAAGGCCACTGTGGTGAAACACAGCATGAACTTCAACAGACACACCTGTCTGCAAATAAAGCAAAACTCTAATTTGAACTTTCGTCTGCCTTTACCCACCGGAAAGTGGCAAGGAGGAGTTTGATGAAAGGTATGCCTTGACCTTGGTAAGGACGGGACTTGATGGATTTGCTGGCTTGACAAGTGACATGTCTAACTATTGCCGCATCGCTGTTACACCGCATGACCTTGGCACCGACTTCAATGGAACCCCAAAGGTTGTAGAGGTCATTTTACTCAACATGACATGAAGGTGAGTCACTCTTGAACCACCACTGTCACGATTGTAGGCTCTTCATCGCTATCTTTCGAGATCCTCTCAGCTGCTTCCTCAGGAGGCCATTTGCTTGTGGGAGACGGTCTGCGACACTCCTGGAGTAGCGTCCTTTCGACTCCTCGAGAACAACGTTCGATTTCATACTCCAACTCTGACCTTCAAGGTCAATTTAAACAACTCGGCATGCACCCAATAGCCCTCCTTCTCCTTGCAGCACCGTCCTCAGTGCTGGTCTTAAGGGTCCCTTCCAGATGGTCAGACGGCTTCCTTGTAGCCAACCTGGGGGACTGTCTGTATATGGACGGAGCTCTGCAGTCCGGACGAGATAGTTTAAGAATTAAGAGGCTTAACTTCTCGGTGGAGGAAATCGGTCTCCCTTGAAGGCAATG